AAATCTTTGTCTTGCTTGCCATAACCTATGCATAATGCATTCGAAGCACAGAAATTTCAATTAAATATTATTATCAGCTGAATAACATTGGGATACTTGATAAACAATACACCATAATCCAGGGATACTTAACTGAATAAACAATACACCATAATCCAAGGATTAGTTTATTTACCTCAAATATCTTAATAACATTGGGATGCTTGATAAGCTTCATAGTTGATATTTCTCTTTTTATCTGCCCTAATAAAATCACCATTAAAAAAAAATGCAAAAATGTTAATGCTTCAAAACAAATTAACCAAAGACTTTCATTTTACAACAAAATTTAATCATAACCCAAATTCGATTAATCCCGACGCTTGAGCAGTGGAACCCACGTTAAACATTGGTGTCAGTGGTGGTCCCACTTTTTGGTTTCTTTTAATGTTGTTTACATGCATGGAGAAGACTCAAGGGGACGTTTTTACTTGTTCGACTATTCGGAGAACTTGGTAACGGTCCAGGATTTTAATGGCCACACACTCGCAGGTCTCAACTTTCTTAGCGAACTTAACCTTTGCAAAACTCCCCTCACCCAAGGTTCTTCCGAGTTCGTACTTTCCTACACGCATCCTCGACATCTGAACCTGCACCGTAAAACAAAACGCAAGATTTAAAAATCAAAGAAAACTTACCTGAAACCAAAAGAAGCCAGTAAAACAAACCACATTCAGATCGGTAAGTTTCGCCGCTGTTTGCCGTTATCGTCGCATGTCACCAGTTTGCGTGCGCCACCACCATTTCTAGTCATCGATCGGCCAAGTCTGTTTTCCATCTGCCAATTGAAGTTTTCCTTTTCCTCTTTACTGTCAAACACTAATTTGAAGAACCCAACTTCCACCAAGTCAAGAAATCTGAAGTTCCTTTTTTATTCTTTGCTTTCTAAACTGTGTTGGGTTTTGTGGTTTTTTGGGTAACATTTCAAGTTGCATATTTTTAAGCAAACCCTTCAAGGTTTGATGCTGTTAAGAAGGAAGGAGTGATGAGTACTGAAGAAAGAGAGATCTGGCTTGACCATGAGCTGCAAGATGACTTTCTTGATGTTAACGATCCTTCAATTTCTATGGTAATTTCCCTCCTCTTCCTGATTTCCCTTGCATGTCTTTTTCTTCATCTTCTTCGTCGACTCGGGCACCTGTCAAGGCCATTGCATGTTCTTCTGCTTCTAAGATATTGTCTTCTTCTTCCACGACTTTTTGGGCAGTTTTGAAGTCAGATGTTGATGAAAATATGGAGAGAATAATGGCTATGGTCATCAACATCGGCATCATTATCATAATCAGCATGATTTGGTGGATGGAACACCATAGCATTTGTGGGTTTAATGGGTTGCGTTTAGATGAAAATCACCCGTGGAAGGAAGACTACAAATGTTTTTTTGCTTAGAAAGCTTTCTCCCATTCCAGAAGCTTCCTACCCTTTCTTGATTCCCCAAAAACCAACACATTCCTAAACATTTTACCAAATTTATCCATCAATCATTTTTAATTACTTTGCTGATTTATACAAAAAAATTGAAAGTTAAGGGATTACTTTTATTTATGTTATAAATATTTAATAAATTTACTATTTAAATTTTAACGTTTATAATATTTTTTATCTTTAAATTGTGATTTTTTCATAAAAAATTTGAAAACATTAACCTAATATGATTAGAGGCTTGAGCCTAATCACCCAACATCCTTATTTAGCCCATTAATCTCAGGTTTATACTATTTAATCGATCATATTGTTAGGGACTAAATCTTTAATATTTTGTCAACAAATCAATTTTTTTTTACATGTGAAAACCCTTAACACTACGTTAGTGAAGGTGGGGTCCCCATGGGATACCTCGAAATTAGAGTTTAAAAGTTAAAACTCTATTTTGGAGGCTACAAATTCAAATGTTGGATGAAATTTATAAAACAAAAGAAGATTATCTCCTGCTACATAATCTAATATCATATAATTAAAGAAGACATGGATTCGAATTTTAATATTTTTTTTCCTTTAATGTAAGATTTGTCTCTCTTAAATGATAAAAATAATAATAATAATTAAAAAATAAAGGAAGATTAGACTGACAGTAAATCTCTTATTTTCATAAATTCACTCTCATTGAAATCTCAAAATTCAAAAATTTAAAAATTAAGATAATCCGCTTTTATAAGATAAAATTTAACACTTACAAATTACTTTAGGGCTGGTTCAGACCTCACAGAAACTGCGTTAAATGAAATTATTCACCTTTTTAATGCAATAGCTCCATGGTAATGTGTTTGGATTTATTAACAAATTTATAATTTAACATAAAATCTAATCATTTTTAATTATTTGTTAATTTCATAAATATCATATAATTTAAAATTTTGTATTTTATTCAAATTTTAATATAATATCTTTAATAATTTTTTTTATTAAATTTTATTTCACAATTACTATTGCATTTACCTTCAAATACATATTTCATTATTTATTTTAATTTTACTGTTACAGTGACTAATTTTAATGTCACTGCTGTTTTCAATATTATTAGTCGATTTTACCGTTTATCTAAATAAACTCTTAGTACTAAAATATTTATTAATAAATTGAAAGAAAATTAAGTTGACTGACTTTTTAAATTATACAAAGGGAGAAATCTATTTTTTTGGTGAAAAAAGTTTATTGTGAGTTAAGATTTCTCTTCATTTCAAACTCAAAACAGATGCATGTCTCAAAAAATTTTATCTTAGATTTATAAATTATTCATCAAATTAAATTGTTGATAATAAAATTTGAACTTAAATTTTATAAATAAAATATTTAAAATTTATCAACTTAACCAATCTTTTTAGCCATATTTATCATTTCATAAATTTCGCTCTTCTTATTTTCAAGATTTGAACATGCAACTTTTTTCAACTAAAAACACTTCTACGTTAAAAATTTCGACATCGTTTTAAAGAAGACGAAAAAAAAAAAAAGGAAAAAACCAATCTATATTTTTATTGTGCTGAAAGTACACCAACCGAAGCATATCCATATGCGATTGTAGCAAGAATCACAGATTTGGAAATTATATTCAGATTTCTATCCAATTTTGCCATTCTCACCCAACATTACATCTGCTATTTTGCCTTGCCCCCATTTTTTTATATGTTATTATCTTTGGTGGAGATTATACATATTCTCAATTGTATGTCATTGTCCTTACAATAGGAAGCATTGGAAGCATGCTATTTTTGGAAAAGCAATTTCAAAATACATGAAGCTGTTTCTAAAAAAAAAAAAAAAAATCAAGTAAACGGATCCATCATCAAGATTTTCTCAATGAAAGTAACCCAAAATAAACTGTGAGTGGCAATGATTATGATGCATGCCACTAGCTTTAGAGCTCCTCCAATCCTAATCAACGAAAAATCCAAACCATTTCAGAAGACATATAATTGTTTGCCGTATCAAATGTCTATATTCTTTTTTGATTAAGACAGGATGACAACTATGAGACTGCTCACTTAGAAACAAAGGGGAGGGTGTCACCTCTACAGAACCTAAAATAATCACTAATCTCCCTGTCTAATTTCCATCTTTGTAGACAAAATGTTAATGATTTTGACATTTTACTTGACATCAAAACATCTATACTATATAATTTAAATTAATAAACCAAAAATAATCAAGTTAGGCACACCACGGCCTTTTTGTTTTCTTCTTACGGCAAAGCTGGCCAGCTATTTTGCATGAAGATTTGGGCAAATGATACTGACATTATAACTCCACAATTGATTAATACACTTAAATTTTTTTTGTGGGGGAAGGGGAACTCATATCAAGTTATCCGCTAATTATAACTAATCAGCCAAACCTTAAGGGAGATTTAAAAAGAAAAAGAAGATTAAAAATAGATAATAATGTGATTAGATAATAGATAGTACTAAATGATCATCTGATTAATCTTTGCAACCACCTACAAAGAAGTTAACAGACAATACATCTGCATTAATGTGGTAGGGGGAGCAATATGAAAAAGAGCTGGGAGTGTAGGCAGCACAAGCATTTAAACATAAGAGCTCATGTAGACCCAACATGATTTAAGACTGCCAAAACATAAGGGCACCAACACCCAAAAAAACACAAATATCAGACAATATAATATATATATATATATAAACACATAATTGAAAAAATCTGAATGAAGGTAAAAGACTGAAAGTGAAAGGAGTGAGTTGTACCCAGATCCCATTCATATAAATTGTCAGAACCCATGTGACAGTGTGGCCCCTTACCCTTTCATGTCCACCTAAAAGAAACCACAAAATGAGACAAAAGAGTCCCCTAAAGTAAACCTTTAATCACATGAAAGAACAACCTTTTCTTTACCTCATCTTTATTTTTTTTCCCTGTTCTGCCTGTTTCATAATCGATTGGTTGACAGATACTGTAATAACATTAAGAACAATAACACAACTCAGGCCTGCAATCCTTTTCCTCTTTGAGTCTTCATACCAGTATAGTAGTTATACTTCGGCTACAGTACTTTTAAAACTTCTTGGGGTCTACTTCTGTAAACAAAGTGACATGGATCTATATTCATTTAATTTATTGATAGTTCTTTTTTCAGCTCACTTCGAAAAAAGGAGGGTAAAAAAAGAGTAGGAAGAAAAAAGAAACTGAAGGGAAAGAGTAAAAATTACAATAACACGTAAAAGAGTTACTGCCAGCCTTTGCTTGTTCTATTATTTTGCTGTGTGGTCCAGCACACTCACCAACAGAAGGGTCACAGTACGGAAAGAGAAAGACCCCACTCCCATAAATCTGATCTGCCCTTTACCTATACATTATGTATTCATTGTAAGTAGTATGTACTGATGATGATGATGATGATGATGCCGATCTTGTTGCGATGTTGTCCACAGATCTTTTTCTTTGTTGTGATAGGTATGGTTTTTTGGCTATACATGATACATGTAGATGGTTTTTCCTTTTTTTTTTTTTTTAATCTTCCTTGTATATGCTTCCCAAAGTTTCTGCAAAGATGGAACAAAACAGTTCAGCATTATGAAATGATCACATTTGACCAGAATTCCAACAACAAGCTGTATGCATGTGAGCATAAAAAGCTTGATAGTCTCTTACCCAGAAAAAGTCAAATTCCCCTTTGCTGCCCATGCTCACTTCTGCCAACTACATGCAATTGGTTCCTTGCCCAGAAGAGAACCTTTATTGCAAAATTAATCATACTAATTAACTTCCCTTTTGTCTTTGAAATAAAAGGCAATGTTTTTTTAATGCTGTGGCAGTGAAAAGAGATGACATTACCTGGGCATTTGTAGAAAACATGATTTAAGAGAAGCCATATTGAGGCTGGAGGTGTTGGCCAACGAAGGGTTAATGTTAGAAGAAGATGTAGTTGGACTTGCGGTTTTAACGTCAGCCTCTACGGAAGAGGTAGAGAAGACAGTGAGGTGATCACCAGCTGATTGCTTAGGAGAAGCAAACAGGTTATCAGGGAGAATGTGCTCCAAGCTGTTCACATGACAAAAGGCCTTTATTGATAATGCCAACAAATAATAAATACGCATAAACATCCATTCAAAAGATCATCAAAAGCTAGCACAAAGCAGCAGAATTATATAGAGCCTGAACCTGAACATTCTGTTTCCTATTGTGTTAATTTTTTTTTATCTACATTTAAAAGTTATGTTTATACCTTTCAGGGAGATCACTTTCTTCATTGTTGGCCTTCTCCGTAGTATTACTATTACCATTGTCATTTTTATGATTACAAACTAGATTAACTTCCTCCAGTTGCTTATCAGCATCGGTCAATTTGGAAACAGCTGTGACCAGGCTACCACCATTCTCTGCAACAAAAATGTATGCCATTTTTAAATGGTGAACAAACCAAAGTCAATTTTATAACTGTTTCCAAAGATGTTAACCTTCTAGGACCTCTTGATCAATGCCATCAGCTGGAAAAATGGGTGCTTGATAGTTCGGAGTATGGGATACAGTTGGTGAAGGAGTGGTAGACCCACTGGACAAACCATGATTTAACTGAGAATGGTGATGGTTCTTGAAGTCCAGCAGCTGCAAATTCATTAGCCTTCTTCCTTGAAGCTCCATGGCTTGCTGCATATCAGCCTGCTCCTCCAATTTCCTTCTCAACAGCATCTCTTGTGTATTATAAAACATTCTTGCTCCTAAATAAGTTCAAATCAAAACAAAAGTTCACCAACAAGTACTCCAATCTGAGATTAAACAGAGGCTAGTCTTTTGTTGTTGCCTTGTTTTACTTACCGAGATGGAGATCAAATGGCTCCCTGGCGTCAAGGGCAGACGGACTTGAGCACGCAGAGTACTCTCCTCTCTCCAACTGTTGTTGGTGATGTTGCTGCTTCCTGAAATTTGATGGATTAGATAAATTACATCACTGCAGGAAGTAGGCAAAAAAGATAACATGAGAAAAAGAGCCTTTACTTCTCTTGGACTTTCCCCTTCTCCTTGTAAGGTTTAACAAGCACACGAGATTCGCAAACAAAATGAGGGTTCCCTTTGGCTAAAATGAGCTTCACTGTCTCAGGATACACAAATGTAACAAACCCAAACATCCTCTTTTGCTGGTAAGGTATCCTCACATCTTGCACAGGTCCATAGATGCTAGGAGAAACAAAAGGAAACAATCTTCAACCCAAAATTTCACAAAGGAACTCGACCCAAAAGCAACCATGACCGACCAAGTAACTTTACCTGAAATAATTTGAAACATCTTCTTCCTTAAAAGTACTGTCAGCTGGAAATGTCAAATAAATCTGTCTAGAGCCTGGATTAACTGCTCCTAATCCCATTGCTGAAAAATCATTTTGTTCAGGACGACACCGCCCAAACTTAAGAAGATCATCTCCCATCATTAATGCCGCCGCTGCTGATCTGCAACGACCAATAGCAATGCCATAACGAGTCAAGAAAACAATACCCATTAGCTCAAAACACTATCAAACAACCCAAAAGTTGCACTTAAACAGTGCAAGAAGTAAAGTGCTAAAAAGTTACTAACAAAAATAAGCTCCAGGCATTCTACCTATGAGTGTCATTTTGTTGATGAAGAAGCAAATTAACACAATTGCCATATGGAAAAGAAGCTCCAGCCATGAACTGAGATGCTGCAGCTAGCTTTTGTTGTTGTTGTTGCTGCAGCTGTTGTTGCTGTTGTTGAAGAGCTTTTGATCTAAGCAGCTCTTGGTACTGTTCCAACTCATTAAGCTTGCTTGGAGAACCAACAAGAGCAGCAGCATCGGCACAATCACCATGAAGAAACCTACAACTAGTACCATTCTTACAAAACCCTCTTGCGAAGTACAAACAAGGCTTCCATCCGACCCCAGAACTTACATCTTCAGCCCCAAAACACAGACCATGAACTGAAAAACTCTTCCTATGTAAAGGAGAATCAGCGTAGCCAGTTGGACTCGTTGCCAAGTCTAGCCGAGGGTCAAACAAATCTTCAAGTTTTGAGTCGTTGAGAAACGAAAGATGGTCCTGGCACTGGTAGTCATCAATTAATTCATTGTCATTGCAGGTATTCCCACATGAAGTTATTGAGGGTAAAGATCCAGAGCCTTTTGCAATTTTACTGGCTCCATTAACAATACTGGCATAAGAAAGAGAGGAATTTGAGCTTGGACTGATGGGACGATGGTTAAGATGAGGCCAAGCATTAGTTGATGGAGAAGAAGCGTTTGTAATTTCAAAGCCATAGGTGGTGTTGGCAATGGTAAGCCTTGAAGAAGAAGAAGAAGAAGAAGGGATGGATAAAGGTCTCGGCCTGGAAGAAAAAGGGGAAGGAGAAGGAGTGGAAGGTGTTGGTGGGTTTGAGATGGAGAGTCCCAAGTGGGTTTTGGCTTTCAGTATTAAAGAGTGGATAAGAGCTTCAGGTCCAAAGGCTAAACGTATCATTTCCTTCTCTCCATGGTCTTGAATAAGAAGATAACCCATAATTTTTGAAGCATTTTCAGGGTCCAAGTTTTGGATCCTTGAAAAAACTATCCTCGTAGCTTCATAGGAATCCATGGAGAAACCAAACCTTCACTACTAGAGAGATAGAGAGAGAAAGATATTATAGGGAAGGGAAAAGGATAAAAGAGTGCAAGAGTGGACTTTGCTTCAAAAGACAATGATGGGTGTGGCGTAATATTATTATTTTAGTATAATTATTTTGAGGTTATAAACAAAAATGTAATGAGTTGAAGCTCCCTCTCTCAAACCCATCAAAGAAAAAAGAAAGAGAATCAAAAGATACAACAAAAGCTAAAGAGCAAAGAAGAAAGCTTTGTGTTGAAGAAGAAGAAGATGAAATGAAGAACAAAAGCATCAAAGGTAGGTGCTTTGGAGCTGCTGCATGCTGATGCTTACACCTGGAATTTTTCTCTCTCTCTCTCTCTTAAAAACTTAGAACCACAACTTTTGGTGGCAGTGCAAAAACCTCAGCAGCGAGCCAACCTTTGGAGAGTAAACTTTACTCTCAACTTGTTTGTTTTTCTTTGGAGGTGACCTATTATTTTTCATTGCCTGTCTCTTTCTTTCTACTGTTGTTTTTAAATTTCTTTGTCTTTACAGTGTTTAACAAAACAAGGCAAAGTGGGGGGGGGGGAGTTGATTTGGATCTGCTTAAAAAAAATTTTAAAAGAGTACGTTTTGTTCGAGTATTTTCGGATACGGAGAAAATAGTGATTTTTAAAGAAAATCATTATTGAACGAGAATATGTGAATTTTGAATTTTATTGATTAAGAAAATATAAAATTTGTATATTTGATTTAAAAAAATATAAAATTATTTAATAAATTTTTTATTATATTACATTTGAGATACATAAATAACAAATAATATTCATAAGACATTATAAGTAAATAATATATTATTTTTGTTGAAATTAAAAAATTTTAAATATATATTTTTTATATTTTTAACAAAAATAATTTTATAATCTTAATTATTTTCTTTATATTAATTATCTCTATGTTAAGAAAATATGCAGATCAACTTTTATGGTAAAATTAACGTGAGAATTAAAAAGATTGATAAATCCCTCAAGGTTTTTAAGGGAAGCTTGGAATAAATTTTATAAGTAATAACATTAAATAAATATATTTAAGATTTTATATGTAATAATATTAAATAAAGATATTTTATGTATTATTTTAATTTTATTATAAGTAGTAACATTCATGACATTTCTTATCTTTAAAAAGTCATTTTTGTTAAAATTTCATTACATTTCTTATTTTAAAAATATAATTTTCGTTAAAATTTTAGAATTTCAAAAATATAATACCAACATCAATTACATTTCTTATCTTGAAAATGTAATTTTTAGTTAAAATTTTATAATTTTAAAAAATATATAGTTCAACATCCATTACGTTTTTTTTTATCTTAAAATTATGGTCTTTTTTTATCATAAAAATATAGTTTTTGTTAAAATTCTAAAATTTTGAAAATAAGATTTCAACATCGATTATGTTTTTTTATCTTAAAATGAAGATTTTGCTAAAATTCCAAAATTTTGAAAATAAATTTTAACATCCACTATTCTTTTATCTTAAAAATGTATTTTTATTAAAATTTTAAAATTTTGAAAATATAATTTAATCATTCATTACTTTTTTTATATTAAAAACGTAATACTTGTTAAAATTATAAATAACAAAAATTACATTTATTTTGTAATTTTAAGAGACTAAACATGATAATATAATTTGAAAATACAATTGAGGGTAAATAAGATAAAATTTTTACTTTTTCTTAAAAATCTAAAAAAACCAAGAGGAGATAATAGTTTTTTATTCCCCTACATTTTTTTATACTATTAAAAATATTTAAAAATTCTCAAAAATTATATTCTATGAATCAAATTAAGAATCAACGAAAAGTAAAATTCTTATAAAAAATCTTACTTTTTCCTTAATTAAACCCCTTAAAAGGGAAATTGTTTTATAAAAACAACTAACAATAGTATAACACCACTACGTGTTATGGTATTCAATCGTAGGTTCATTATTTTCAACTTCTTCAAAATTAATTTTATAATAGTTTAATTTGATTATTTCAGTTAATATATAATATTATAAATTTTTAAAAATTAATTTGAATTCAAAAACAACTTTTTTTTAATTAATTCAATATAAAACTTAATTTTATTTGTTCAATTCATTGGATTTTAAAATTTTCTTTTTAATTTTTATATCATTTTAATATAATTTTTAATATATTTAAATAGATTTATATATAAAATAATTATTTTATTTTATAAAAATTTAAAATTTATATAATTATAAGAGTTAATAGCATCTGTATTCCTTAAACTTTGACCCAAATTTCATTTTGGTCTCAACCTTTAAAAAAATTTAATCTGATTTTTAACTACTGAAAATTATTTTATTTCAGTTCTTTCGTTTATGAAACTATCTAAATTGACAACAAATATTAGTTAACACCATATAATGAAATAGCTAGTATCTCACATGGTAAATGACGGATTAAAATAGAATTCTTTCAAAATTACAGACAAAGACGAAACTATCTAAAAAACTTTATAAACTTCATATATTTTATAAAATATTAAATCTAAATTATAAAAATTAAATATAATTTTAAAAACAAAAAAATATTTTCTATTAAAAATATTATTTTACTCATAAATCATAATAAAAATACTATTTTCTATCCATAAAATGTATATTTTTAAATTATTAAATATATTTTATTTTCCTTTTTCAAATATTTTATAAAAAATAAATAACGGAAAAATATTAAAATAATTCAAGAAAAAAATATTTTTATATATTTCAAATATATTTTATAAAATATTATAATTTAAAATATTTTTTAATTTTTATTATGATATAATTTATCAATAAAATAATATTTTAATAGAAAATAGATTTTTTTAAAAATTAAAATTAATCTCAAATTTTCAAATAAATTTTGTTAAAATTATATATCATTTTAAAAATCAAGTAAAAATTTCTATAACAGTTTTAGAAATTAAATAAAAACTCTATATTACGTTAAAATATTATGTAAAAATTTTTTAGACTATTTTCAAAAATAGATTTATTAATCTATTCAAAAATAAAAAAAATTTATGTTCTTATAAAATAAAAAATATAATTTAAAACATTTTTTATTTTTTTCATTTTTATAAAATGTATTTTATAAACTATATTTAAAAAGAAAAAATAAAAGATATTTAATATTTTAAAAAAATAAATTTTTTGGATAGAAAATAATATGTTTTTATTATGACTTATGAGTAAAATAATATTTTTAGTAAATTTTTTTTGTTTTTAAAATGTATTAAATTTTTCAAAAAGAATTTGAAAATTTTAACTTAATTTTAAGTTTTGAATATCTATTTTCTATTTAAAACAAAAAAAATCTATCTAATAAATTATATTATAACAAAAAAAATGCAAATAACATTTTAATAACAAATGATATATAAAATTTTGATATATTTTCATTTTTGGTCTTTAAACTTTGAGAGAATTATATTTTAATCCCCCATCTATCATTTAAAATGCTAGTTGACGTCATAATGTGGTTCCAGCTATCATTTGCAATCAATTTATATGGTTCCATGACAAAAGGACCAAAATAAGACAACATTGGGCCATTAGGAATCTGATTAAAATATTTTAAAATTTAGGGACCAAAGTAAAATTTAGATCAAAATTTAGGGGTTACGGATACAATTAATCTAAAAATTAATAAATATATAATTTGGTTTGAATATTTTTTATTTTTTCATTTTTTGAAATGAACCTAAAACAAGCACTTAACATCCAAATTTAAACTGAATCAAATAACAAATTATATGAATCTAATTGAGTCAATTTTTTATTTTCTTAATTTGTTCTCACCTTTATCAGTATCTATCAAGTAGATCCTTAAGCAATAAATTTCCCCAAATATCAACATTTTCATAATGGATAAAGGGATAATGCAATGTTCAATCCCTTTCTTTTTATAGTTTTTATTTTATTAGTAGTAGTATTTAACTAAATAAAAATATAAAAAAAATTAAATATAAACACCTAATTTTATCTGGACATATTCTAATCAATCATAAAGCTTTAAGTCAAAACCTAGGTCTTGACCAAAATTTTAGGATTTTTTTAATATTTTAAAATTTTCAAATAAGTTGATTTTAGGATGATGTAAAAAAAATAGCTAAAATAAAGAAATAGTCAAAGGTCGATCTATAAGTCAACTTAGTAAAACTTAAAGGTCGATCTATAAGTCAACTTAGTAAAACTTGTTTAAGATTAGTTGATTTTGATCGAATAGAGTCAAATTTGGGGTATTTTAGTAGAATCAAACTAAGGCATTGGGGTCATAAAGACTTAAAAATCAATTTTGAGTTTTGAAAAAAATGACCAAAATACCCTTAATGAGGCTTTGAGTCAAGGTTAGTTAAGATCAGTTAAGATTCTTTAGTATCAGACAAGTTTTGTCGAAACATAATGTTTAGAAAGAAATTTTTTTTTTAAAAAAAAAGAAATTTCAGTGAAATGACCAAAATGCCCTTCATCAAATTTGGTTAAACTCAATCAAACTTGGGTCAATATTTGGCATTTGTGATTGAACAAGATTATGGAGGCTTATTAGGAATAAAATAATGATTTGAACTCTTAAAAGTCCTCATCGTACCTCAAAAGAGTAAAATTACAAAAATGACTTTTAGAGATATTTTCATAATTTAACATTTTTGGGATCGATTTTTTGTAAAAATTTAGATCATGTTTAAACATTATTTTATGAGTTTGATGCATTAAAAATCTTAATTTCACCTTAAAAGGGGCAAAATTACTAAAATACCATTTAAAGGTAATTTCATAATTTATCCTTTTTGAAGTTGGTTTTTACGAAAAGCTTCTGATCATAATTAAATATTATTTTATAACATTTGGTGTAATAAATCATTGAAATAAATATTGGATCATAGAATTTTAGTAAAATTATGGAAAAAGCTTAAAACACCAATATGGGTAAAATTATTTTTTTTTCACTAAGACAGCTGCACTACCAGCCAAGTTATGTGTTGTAATTTTTTTAAAGCCATTAGATTTAAAAGTACAAAGATTATATGGCTTATATTATAAGTTTTTGGCACTAAGTTTGAAGAAAAAGACAAACAAATTACTATCTTTAGATGCATTTTAATCTAATGGTTAATAAAGGTGTTTGGCTCTTTAAATTGACATGTTTGGGTTTGTACAGACTCTCTTTTCCATTAACTAAAAATCTATCATTAAAAAAGTTTTTTAAATAAATCTCTCTTGTGGAAGAAAGCTTTTTAGGTAGTTTTTCACCTTTTTTTATACATTTTCAACTCCATTCCATATAGTTCTTAGTTCTTCTCCATGTAGTTCTTTATTCCAAGAGTCTCATCTCATTTTTAATGATTTACATCCTTTGATTTATAATTTAGATGTGTTTTTGATGATTTGATCTTATGATTATCTTTGTTTTCATGGTTTGATTATATTTTTGTTTAGTCTTCTTGAATAAAAATGTTAGATTGTAGATTTTTCTTTTGTTAGTTTTCTAATTGTTTGATAAAAAATATATTTTGAATAAATAATAGTTCTTTTAATTGCTTGATGTGTGCTTGATATGTGTTAGCTTTTGGATTTGATTTTTA